AAGTTATAGTTGCGCGCGACCTTACCTGTCGAATGTAATATGCCAGTTTTCAATGTGGGTACAAGTAGTGATGCAGCTAGGATTTTTCTGGAGGAGATTCTGGAAAATCTAGGGACAAAGAAAGCCTTCAGTAAGCTTCATTCGCAACTAGCAAACCACTTTTATACTTTGAATACATGAATAAGTGTGAATAATATCTGAATAATTTCAATTTGACAAATGAATAACGAGAATTTCGCCGGCACACACTCAAAGAAAAACCTGATATATAAAAAGATAATCCGCTGCTGACTGGAAATAAAATACTCATGAAAAATCGGTATCTTGCGCCAGATGTTTACAATTTTCCTCGAAAAACTCACTTTGAACTCTTGCTCGGCAAGCTGAGCTCTTTCTTTGATTCGCTGCTCCTCTTCGGCAGCTTTCTTCTGATCACGCCTTACACGTGCCACATTCTCTTTTGTACGCACATGCCACTTTTTCTTCGGCAGTATATTCATTCTCCTGTGAAACAAATGCAAGACTGTGTGACCGACGAGATAGTCGCATTCAGAAACTCGCCCCATAAACTACATCCTTCCAAAACCAGCAGTGAGTTCCGCATAATTTAAAACCCAAAATCAGACCTCAGCTGCTGCGCCACACTGCGCGAGAAAACTGCATGCATCATACTATAGAACTAATAATCCAAGAAATTGTACCAGAGCTATTTCAAAGACAATGGACAATTTGCAATTCCTTACCAGCGCCATCTCAGAATTTGGTAAAACGCCCGTCTCTTCACAAACCGAGCAAACATACAGGTAGAGAAGCAGTCATACTTTCTCACGCTAAACATGAACAGACTGCACAGAACAATCTTATTTATTATTTTTATTACTCGAAAAATAAAATTACATTAAATGAGTTGAACTTAACACGGCGACATCAGTAGCTTAACAATATTATTATGCGAAGCAAGCAAGGAAGCACCGGAACAAACTGCGGCATACATACATACATACACACACACACACACACACACACACACACATACAAACACATACCACATCATAGTGAAACATTTTAACAGCAAATCAACATAGCATTCCATAAACTCCTAAAAAGCATGTGTGGAGAGCATTAAGGGATCAATTTCGAACAAAGAATTTTAGAAACACACCAGAGCCGCA